AGGCCTCCTTTTGGACACAGACTTCGCAGCATTTAAGGAAACTATAAAAGGGTAATATCACAGTTGGCTGAACATGTATTCCCATGACATTTATAATCTCTTGGCAAATGACTAAGACAGAAAATTGTAATCAACCAGTGAAACAGCTTAAAGTAGGGTTGCAATTAATGTAACTCTACAGCATTACTTCTTAGGGTTTTCATTGGGAAATTGAGACGATGCCATACAGAAGTCTGCTACAGAGCAACTAAAAAGTCTTCTATCTTCACTGAAATAATTCCATCATTTTCTGCTAAATTTTACATGGAAGGGTATGCTACTCTCCGGAGTAGCAGGCATTTCACAAAGTACTGACAGGTTGAAATTACTGACATAAATCACGGCCCCTGGGGCTTCCCTGGACTACTTCACCTAACGGGTAGCCGAACATCACTGACAATATATGGCTATGGACCGATCTCATGAGGTCCTAACTAAAAATCTGAAGTACTTTTCCGATTAGAAGGGGTTACTCGGGTATGCTCTTAATATCGATTGTCGTACGGCATAACCCCATGATATTTCGAGCCCACCAGAATTTCGAATTTGGATTATACTTCTTTTTGACCGCCTGTAAAACTGCACCAGTCGAGTAGTTTGCATATACTTCCGTAAAATTGGTTGCTAGTTGTAGTCCTTACAGCACATCTAGGGCTGATTAGTCGGCTAGGTGTATGATGCACCTTAACACCTGGTCCTACCGTTTCTTACACAACCATCCTACGTCCCATAGTAGTCAGATAAAACTAGTGCAGCCGGGAATCCAGCCCAGTAAGATGCCCGTCAAAACACACATCGGGCGACGACTATTAGATTCCGGGGACCCGCAGCATATGTTTGGTTCGGTAATTGAAACTACCCACGAAATACGTAATCTCGGAGTTAACTGGACCCCCCCTCCCACAATCCTTATCGCATATGAGGACACATTAAACAATAACAAAAATATATATATTCTGCCACGGAGGTAGGAAGAAGGGTACCTCGGCATAGATAAAATATATAAAAGACAGC